CTTGGTGTGTCCAGAATGTTGTTTTTTCTTTAAAGGTTTTCGTATGTTTGTGTCTGTGTGTGTGTTACGAGAAGTTGAGGGTATACACATGAGTACATACATGGCACATAACCACCACACACACACACACACACACACACACACACACACACACACACTCGTTTAAACACCCAAATATTTAGCCTCCACACACACACCTGAAATGTGTCAAACTTTCCTCGCTGCAGTCCGGGAGCGCGTGGATTAACTTGGATAAAATGCAAAAAAAAAAAATATGTCAACAACCTGCAATGACGAGCAACCTGTGCAAAACCCAAACATAAATGGCTTCTCACATGGTACAAGTGTAGATAATTGCACCACTATGCTCCTAGCTGTGAATGTGTGTGAGGTGTATAATAAACTAGCTGCTGTCAATGGAAAAATTTACTTAAAATTCAATTCGCACGTACGCACACCAGGCTAGGTCCCCCCCATGACACACTACACACACACACACCATGAGCTACCGTGCAGCAGTATTACGGTAATGAGGTAACTTGTTTGGTGAGGACGGAAGGGCAAACGCTCATCTCTCATGAATAGTCGCCAAATGACCCCCCAGACATGGACGTCGTGAGGAAGGCCACCAGATATATGTTATTCAAATTCCTATTCACGTGATGACTGACATCTCACTAATATATTATACACTTATATGAATGAATAAATTTACCGTTAAGTGTTTTTCTTATTCAATGGAGGTGAAAAATGAAGGAGTATAATGTGTTTAGTGAATATTAATGTTTTATGTCCAGTTGGGAAGGAAAGCGTTAATACCAGCTGTTGTCATGATTAATGGCGCCTGGATCTTGGCTCAAGGTGATGTATGATAATTTACGTTGTGTCTTTCTCAATACTTTGACTGAAATGGATGATATTGACATTTTTATTAGATTTTACTGATATATCGATACATAAATGATATACTCGTATAGTTGTGTGGGGTGGGTGGTTGGGTAGATGGGTGTGTGGGTGGTTGGGTAGATGGGTGTGTGGGTGGTTGGGTAGATGGGTGTGTGGGTGGTTGGGTAGATTGGTGGGTGGGTGGTTGGGTAGATGGGTGGGTGGGCGTGTTTCAGTAAGGAAGTGAGAGCAGCACGGGGTAACAGCTTGGAGCTCTTCACCAACTTGCTGGCAGGAAATGAGGGTAATCAGTGTCACACCAGACCGCCTTTATAGGACCCGCCAGGAACCTCACAGTTAACCTCCCACGTGGGCCAGCACCTCCCCAGACCGGTCCCCCGCTGTCCTCTCCCACACATATATAACTCTCCTCTCAGGGAACGACAGCGGCTGACTGGGCTAATCACTCTAGCTATTGACAGATGAATCGTAGTCAACAGGATACGTCAAGCGCCATGTTGTCTTAACTACGATTTGTCACTGTCGCCTATGTGCACGACGAGCGGACACCAGCGAACTAGGTCATTGCCTCGTTAAAACATCTCGGGCGTTGTGACGATTAGAAAATAAACACGAAAAACACGACTTACTGCTTCGTATTATAACAAAACTCAATATATTATATACTGTATGTATATATTTACTTACGTGTGTGTATTTGAGGTGTGTGACGCGTGTGCTGACGTCCGTGGTGGTGTGGACAACTTCTCTCCCGTAACACACTGCCAGTTCACACATCGAAGAACGCCCTCCTATGCTTGGTCTGCGTTGTCTTTCACTAACTCTACCAGAATCACATTTTCCTTCTTCAGCCTTACATTTTCGCCCCTAACTTTCACAAGACGAGCCTTCAGACACGCACAGCAGTTCCTCGCTAGCATGAAACACACACACACACACACATACAGACTGTCACACAACATACGTCAGCTGGAAAAAAAGTCACGATTTTGGCGAGGCAAGTTGAGGTGAATTTAATGTGACTTATTTTCCTGTGACTTTTTTTCTAGATTCGTAAATACTTCCCGTATGAACCAGCTCGAGATGTATTTATTATATTTTGTTAAGCTTTTCCTAATATGCGTTTTTTTTCGTTTTTGTTTTTAAGATTGTTGTTTGTTTAGTTTCTGTTCAGGTGCATTATCGTCTCAGGTGAGGTCTTACTAAAATTAAGAGTATTTTATCAGTTATCTTTAGTCCTCTCCTAATTTCGTGTAGATTAAGGGAGAACAGAGGAAAGGAAAAATGAAGGGAGAATAGGACGAGTAAGGTTGATAAAGGGAGAGGAGATGCAAGGAAAAATGATGGGAGGATAGAGAGAGTAAGTTTACTTTTAAATTTATCCTCTTCGCCACTGATCGGATCGTTAGCCGCTTGGGCGATCGGTCATGTCTCTGTTACGCACTGTTGGCAAGTACTGGGTATGCACTGGCCCCTGAATATATCTGAACCTGCTGCAGTGTTGGTTAAGTCTGGTCTTGAAAGAGCTCATACTTAGTGCTGCCACAACACACTCTGGCAGATTGTTCCAAGAGTTCACAATTCTCACTCCGTAAAAAAGTTTGCCCTTACAGTTTTCTGTACTTGTGGCTTCTTCTACCTTGAGCTGTGACCCCTTGTGGGGAAAGCGTCCACCAGCTCCAAGTAAGGACACTCGACTGAGATGCCTTTTGAGATGCTTATACACCTCAATTAGGTCCCCCTTTGCCCGTCTGTAGTATAAGATAGGCAGTTGCAGGCGCTCTAATCCCAGGATAATTGAGTTGCCGGAGTGCATGCACCAGTCTGGTGGCCCTCCTTTGGACATCTTCAATCAACTGAGGTCCCTAGCATATCTTGGGGACCAGACAGTACTCCAGGTGGGGGAAGCACCTCACTCTTGAAGATCGTTACGACCTTCTTATAAGACCCAATTTTTTAGTTGTTTAGTTCACCTTCTTCTCACAATGGCCCGAGAACTTCAGTTCATTGTCAACATACACACCCAGGTCTTTTTCGCATTTGTTATCTATTAATGCAGTTTCTCCGTCCCGTTGGGACATGTGATACGCCTCCTTACCGTAAGTACGATCCAGGTACATCCTCTTATACTTCGTGACATTGAATCTTAGCAGCCATTTCTTCGACCATTCTTGAAGCTCAGAGAGATCCTTCTGCAGCCTTTTTTTTTTTTTATTTTGGTAGAGAAAGATGGGGTGAAAGAAGATTAGAGGTGGGGGAAGGAAGTTATAGTTCGGAAATTGAATAAATTTAGGAGGAGGTAAGAGAGGGCGGGCTGACCGCCTAGCTAAGCTAATAGTGTGTTAGGGTTGTGTCATGGGTTAGTTATTGTCTGTCGGTACAGGCACTAGACATCCTACCCTGTCCCATATATGGGTGTTTTAAGGGCCTTATTTCATATTCCGCCGACCCTACTGGCGGATGCTGGTTTAGGGAGGTTGTCTATTGCCTGGCCGTGTAGATCGGGGGTGGTAATGGGCCTTTTGAGATTTGGTAACTTTTTGGGAACCATGTATGGTTGTTGTCGTTATCTGGTGGGAGTCTGTGAAGGAGTTCTTGCTCTGATCGTTCTATCTTTTGCCAGATTCTGCTGGCCAGGGTGTGCAGCTGCTGGTTGATGGGTTTCATTCTCAGGTCTCTATGTATCTCGGCTGTGGTTCTGGTGAAGGGGTATCTTTCACCCGTGACGAATCTTAGGGCTTCATTTTGGACCACCTGTAATTTTAATATTTGAGTGGTGCTCATAGTATGAAGAGGTACTGCTGGATAAGTTAATATCGGTGTGATGAATGATGTCACCAGGCGGAGTTTTATTTTCTCAGGAAGCGCTTTAAAGCGGTATAGTTTTCTCAGCTCTCTTCTTGCCTTTTCCTTCCTGGTGTGGACATGATGGGAGTAACCTGTCGTGGATATATGCAGGCCCAGGAGGGTTCCTCTGCTTTTGTATTCTATCTGGGCATTATTGGTTACTAATGGATGGGGTTTCCTTCTGCATAAGGGTATCACTGTGAATTTCGGGAGACTGGTTTGGATTTTCCATTGTTTTTCGTAATTATTTACCCTTTCTAATTCCCGCCTGGTGCTGTCGACCTGTAACGCTCGTGACTTTCTTTGATGTGTTGTTATTTGAGTGATGTCATCTGCATACATAATATCTTCGTTACCTATTTTAGTGAGAGGCGGGGCGGGGCGTCTTCACAGTCTGTTTAGATTCTCAACTTACCTGAATAACTTGGCATCATCCGCAAACATTTGTCTGGGGTTTGATTAAGGGAAAACAGATGAAGGAAAGAAGGGAGGGAGAGGAGAATGAAGGGAGAATAGGGTTGATAAAGGGAGAAGAAAAGAAAGGGAAGGACGGAGGGAGAGTAGGGTTGATAAAGGGAGAGGAGAAGAAAGGGAGAATTGGGAGAATAAAATAAACAGTGTATCCACGTACTTTTAACACAAGGCGAATGAATAAAACACAATAGTCATAATAACAAACACTTTATTATTTAAATGTATAATATAGACTCTATAAAAGTAGAAAATACCGAGATTATTTATTATTTTGTATTTTTTACGCTGCTTCTCATCCTCATGCCAGAAGACAAATGAATCACATAGACTTCTTAATAATGACTCGGGGCCAAACAGGAATTTCACAGCCTTAGTTCAACACACACATGAGTGAGATTTAAAGATGAGAATTAAAGTCATCATTTCTCACCTGTTGAATGTCTCATGAAAAGTGAAATTTATCTCTGAGGAATACATAATGACTGTCGCTGTCTGTATAACTGGTAATTGACTGGTGATTGGTCACTGTTATTGGGTATTAATCGATACGCACACTGCTGCCTCCATTGTCCATCTCACGTCACATTTTTTTTTTTTAGGGAATGATAAAAGGTAAGTTCACATGTATCAATAGTTGTGTTCATATCTTGAAATGAGAACACAATAAAAATATTTGATCGTTAGACAGACACATACACACACAAACAGACACGCACACAAAAACATACACACACACACACGCGCAAACTAACAAACAAACAAGCAGACAGACATACATACACAGACAACACACACACAGACATACACAGACAGACAGACAGACAGATAGATAGACAGACAGACACCTCACACCGTCGTCCGTTCCTCATCAGCAGTCGAAGCAACATGTTTGGGAGAGGCAGTAGAGGCAGTAGAGGCAGTAGAGGCAGTAGCAGCATTAGCCGTCTTGGTACTAACAGGCGAGGAACCAAATTTCCTTTTCACTATAGAAGAGATCTTGTTCCTCGTCCCGTGTGGTGACCTACACTGTGTGGCGGCAACTAAACTCACTGTGGACTCGACCGAACTCCTCCTTCTCCTCGCCTTCTGCTCCTTGAGTTTAGGTAGGAGTGAGGGAGACTTGGTGGCTTCAGGTAAGTTCCTCAATAGGTCCATTACTTCTAGGAATTCAGGTGCTAATGACTGGATGTTTTCTGTGTCAAATTGCTCCTCCCGTAAACCTATCGGGGAGAGATATAACCACAGCGTGAGGGAACAGCGTGAAGAAGTGATGACTGTATAGTTTTGACCTGTACGAGTATGGGGATCTCTAAATGCCATAAAATATGAACCATGATATAAGTTGTAATAAATAGTATATATACCTATAAAAATACGTAAATATATAAAGATGTAAATAAAAATAGTCATGAAGGAGAATGATAAATAACGCAACAAATGATAACTAGTGAAATAGAATGAGAGAGATCGGCTGCCGTTACATGAGAGGTAATTCGGAAGTGAGGGAAATTGTGACAATAATTCAGAATAATTTAACCAATGTCAGATCTTGTTAATTTGCGTTAATGATTCGTGGATTTCTGGCGAGTCTTTTTGGGGGTGGGGAGGTGGGGAGGTGGGGGTGGGGGTGGGTGGGGTGGGTGGTGGGGGTGGGTGGGGTCTGCTGGATTTCCAAATAAACACCACAGCTTTAAGGTAAGAACAAGGACCTTGACCTGACCATAACACCATCTGGCTATACACACAGTCTAGTTATACCAAGTCAACCGAGAGAGACGTATAGAGGTGTATAAATGGAAGTCAGGGCTAAACAAAGGGGACATTACAAAGGTACTCAAACTATCCAACCAGGAGCGAACTCGTAACAATGGTTTTAAATTAGACAAATTTAGATTTAGGCGCGAAATAGGTAAACATTGGTTTGGAAATAGAGTAGTGGACGAATGGAACAATTTACTAAACACCATTGACTCAAATACGCTGGATAGCTTCAAACATAGGTTGGATGGATATATGAGCAATAGGGGTTGGGTGTAAATGGGACTGCCCAGTATGGCGTCAATAGGCCCGCTGCAGTTTCCTCCATTCTTATGTTCTTATGAGGCGGAGCTAATTATGTGACATCATTGGTCATAGTCGAAGAAAACGGTAGTAAGGGAGGACTTGTATATTATCATGAATGAGGCCGCCCCACTGTATTAGAAGATATTCTTGCCATATTTCCTGATTTTCTCACTCTTTAACACACCGTCTTTCAGTCAGCCACTTGAACTTCCCATGTAATAATTATTTTTATGATATTCCTATTATTAAAAAAATATTATAATTACTATAAATAATCTTCATCTTCCTCTTTATTATTATTTATACTCATGATTTTTTGCCAATGTCGGTGTAAAAACAATTAAACAATCATAGGCATATAGACTAGCTATTTACTGGGGGTACAGAAGGAATACAATAATTAAATAAAATATTTAAAGAAAATATATTTTTTTAATGATTATAATTATCAGCCTTTCCCCCCCCACCCCCCAAGGTAATACAGTAAATCAGTGAATTCAAGTAGAGGTTTTCACTTTATCAATATGGCCACATCTGGTTGCCTAGTTGAACTTTAGACTTTAGGGAATTTAAATTTAAACCTGCCAGTGGCTCTCGACTATTGCCCTGCCTCCTGTTGCACACTATATTATTGTTGCATACACAATAAATCCACTTTTTTCTATTTTTCATCCTTTAGAAAATGATGAAATCTCAAACTTTTATCATGTACTGTAGTCTGTTATTTGATATGCATCTAAATACGGAGCATTTATCAGGCAGTGTCATAGACCTTCACATCACAAAGGCCAACTGCTGACTGAAGTCCTACACTAGGGCACCTCCTGGCCCGCCGACCTTATGATGTCATGAGCGGCGAAGGACGAATTTTCGACTGGAAGTGGTCGACTTAGTTTAATTAGACTTTGGCTATACAGACCTGATAAGGCAGACGATAGAGATCCGGCAGAGGAACCATCACCCTCGTAGGCGTAAGCTCTGAGGTCGTCCTTGGCTGGCAAAGGGTCGAGGCCTACCACGCCTGCAGTCACTCTCACCCGTACACTGGCTGTCATCGGCACGCCCACACTAACCGGGACAATAGTTGTTACCGGTACACTAGTAGTAACTGGGGCGTCACCAGTGTAGGGTGTGTTGTGACTTACTGGGACACTTTCCTCTGTTGACAAGAATCACAGAGAATAAACATTAACCTTTAGTGGATGATGGTTTAGCTTTAACCCTTTAACGATGATAATTTATATTATGGTTTAACAAAAAAAAAGGTAGTAATTAGAATGATAATAATGATGTTGATACTACGGCTACTACCGTTACTACACCTTCGCCACCATTATATTACCTAAATACAATAGTAGACACCCGAGCTGAGCCACTACAACTACCACTACTACCACTAATAATAATAATGACAACCACAATAATAATTCCGAATATAATCAACATAAACACACATAACACCTTTGTCTTGGGAGGAGGAGGAGGTGTGGTGGTGTGGAAGCGGCAGTCTGAGGCAGTGTAGAAGGGCCTGGTGATGATCCGCCTGTAGCACCTGAGCGTCACTCTCCACACCGTCCTTCATCTCCAGTACGGTGCCCTCCTGCCCCCCCGCCTCCCCCTGCCGTGCTCGAGGCCCCCTGGTGAACCACTGACGACGGAGCCTGACGGAGAGCACCACACCCACCACCACTGACGGGGAGAAGAGTATGTGTCGTAAAGCAGAACAAATTATGTCTGTATACGAGTTATATTATTTATTTATACAATGAATATTAAGTTTATATGTGTTGTTTTAAAATGCAGAATGAATGGGTGTGTGTGTGTGTGTGTGTGTGTGTGTGTGTGTGTGAGTATATTGAGAGATCACTGACCCAGGAGGAGGAGAGAGACTGCGACAGTAGCGATGGCCACGGGGGCGGTAAGTGGGTGGCCCGCGGTGGCCAGGTTGTTCCACTGGCAGTGGTCACCAGCGTGACCCGGGCCACATACACACTGGAACCCGGGCCGCAGATTGTAGCAGGTGCCACCGTGTAGACATGGCCGCCACACACACTCGTCCAGGTCCTGACAGCTGCGGCCCACCAGCTGTCTCCCTGAACCACAGCTGATGAACAGTAGTGTTATTACCACACTCACACATCACTAGATCATGTGAGTGTTATACACAGCTGGTGACATATCAGTGTTATACACAGCTCAGCTGGAGACGAGACTTACCTGCAGGTGGTGGCGCCCCAGGTGGACACACAGGAGAGGGGGGCGTCACAGGTGGTATTGAGGCAAGCGTCCGAGGCATTACAGCCAGATTCTACATTCTGCCAGGTGGTCACTTGCCCCCAGCTGGTGCCATTCACGGCAGGCGGCAGCGGCAGCTGGCGACCCGATACTCGCACGTCGTCAATACAACCTGACGCACGACAGAGGGGGATCTCTTAAAGTGGCGCATATAAGGCTAAGTGTGTGTGTGTGTGTGTGTGTGTGTGTGTGTGTGTGTGAAAGTTTCAATAGAAAAATCATAATGCCTGTGTGCGAAATAAAGCGTCGAGAGACACAGGACGTGAACACTTAACTTGGTAGTGACCAAACTGTACACAGTGACGGCGACAACAACTGGCACTCACTCTCCTGCAGGTCATCTAAAACGTTGACGATGTTCACGCCCACCAACTCTGGCAGACCTCCCACAGTCACTCCTTCATTCTGACCAAGGTCCAGGGGCACGGGTGACTCCCTTACGTCCCCTTCTTCGTCAGGTTGTTCCAGAGACACGAGAGACTCATTACGTCGCCAGCCATCACCGTCGTCCACGCTCACCACCAGGTTGTGTCCGTGACGCTCAGCCCTGATGGTGTGCCAGGCGCCGTCACCCACCGGCCGCCCCTCCACACAGGCCACCCTTGCCACCCCCGTGACTGACGCACACACGACACCTGCCCGCAGCTGTAACAGAGAAATCGAAGGGAAAATCATTACAGGATTTTCAGACCAGCTGAAGTTATTCATTCAAATACTTGAGACAAGAGAGTAACATACGTGTATCGTTAACGCCGTCAGTTGTTGTTGTGTGGCCAGGTGCAGCAGAAGGCCGTGACGGGCGCCGCGGGTCCTCAGCCTCAGTTGTGCCGTCACCACCCGCGGCCCCGGTATGAAGGACAGCGTGAGCCTAACATAGGACGCCGACCCTAAAGTGGCGGGCACGGTGGGCGAGGCACAGGAGGGGCCCGCCCACCCTGGCTCACACTCACAATCAGGGTGGTTCAGACCGCCCACACACTGGCCTCGGTGACCACAACTGCCCGGGCACGCTGCCTCCTGTAGGTGACAGCCGCCCTCACTACCCAGGCTGTAGGCGGGCTCCCCCAGGTCCACCAGCTGTAACAAAGCTACGGGACAGTCAGTTGGCGCACCGTCTGCCACACTCGTGCTAACATCAGTCATTACACTCAAGCAGCAGCCTCACCGGTCATAACCTCACCTGACTATTGACTGTGAGGTGAGAGACGCAGCCATCTAGTGGGCGCGGTGTGGGCGCCTCACTCCATCCATGGTGGGCGGGGCTGGGGGCTGTGTGGGCCAACCCACCCACTTGGAGGGGACCGGAGCCTATCCACGCCCCCACGCCCTCAGGGTTGGGCCAGGATGCCCGCGCCACACAGTCAGAGTCGTCGAGTGTGTCGTTGTCCCACCCGCGGCTGTGACCACACACGTCCACCATCAGGGCCACACCCTGCACCAACAATATCGTCTTTATTCTGGTCGACTCTAAAGTTACTTGTATCTGAGTATTATCAAATTACATATTCAAGGTTACTGAACAATAACAAGACCACAAACGCATTACTGCTCCAGAAACTTGTTCAGAAATTAATAAAGAAACACCAGGAGCGTAACACTATGAGAGGACAGGAAGCAACAGGTATGAGGGAACACTGTGTCACCAGGCAGCTTCACCCACGCCGCCCCACCAACTTGTTTGAAATTCTAAACACAGATGTAAAGTTTGTGAAGAGGACGAGTTACTCACGTGAGGGTGGAGGTGGCTGGTGTGACAGTCTACAACAGTTAACTCACGTGAGGGTGGAGGTGGCTGGTGTGACAGTCTACAACAGTTAACTCACGTGAGGGTGGAGGTGGCTGGTGTGACGGTCTATACCAGTTAACTCACGTGAGGGTGGAGGTGGCTGGTGTGACAGTCTATACCAGTTAACTCACGTGAGGGTGGAAGTGACTGGTGTGACAGTCTACACCAGTTAACTCACGTGAGGGTGGAGGTGACTGGTGTGACAGTCTATACCAGTTAACTCACGTGAGGGTGGAGGTGACTGGTGTGACAGTCTACACCAGTTAACTCACGTGAGGGTGGAGGTGGCTGGTGTGACAGTCTACAACAGTTAACTCACGTGAGGGTGGAGGTGGCTGTGACAGTCTACAACAGTTAACTCACGTGAGGGTGGAGGTGGCTGGTGACAGTCTATACCAGTTAACTCACGTGGGGGAAGTGACTGGTGTGACAGTCTACACCAGTTAACTCACGTGAGGGTGGAGGTGACTGGTGTGACAGTCTACACCAGTTAACTCACGTGAGGGTGGAGGTGGCTGGTGTGACAGTCTACACCAGTTAACTCACGTGAGGGTGTTAACACGTGAGGGTGGAGGTGACACCAGTTAACTCACGTGAGGGTGGAAGTGACTGGTGTGACAGTCTACACCAGTTAACTCACGTGAGGGTGGAGGTGGCTGGTGTGACAGTCTACAACAGTTAACTCACGTGAAGGTGGAGGTGGCTGGTGTGACAGTCTACAACAGTTAACTCACGTGAGGGTGGAGGTGGCTGGTGTGACAGTCTACACCAGTTAACTCACGTGAGGGTGGAGGTGGCTGGTGTGACAGTCTACAACAGTTAACTCACGTGAGGGTGGAGGTGGCTGGTGTGACAGTCTACAACAGTTAACTCACGTGAGGGTGGAAGTGGCTGGTGTGACAGTCTACAACAGTTAACTCACGTGAGGGTGGAGGTAGAGGTGGAGGGTGTGCCAGTCACCGTCGTTGACTGTAGTGTTAACCTCCAGCTTGACCGCCCCAGCGCCTCCCTCCAGCAACAGCTGAGGCCGCCCACGCCACACTTGCAGAGCCAACATTGGCGTAGTCGGGAGGTTAGGGAGTGGTGGGGCGGGCGCTAAGGGGCCGGAGTAGAGGAGGAGGGCGTGTGGGCGGCGTGTGAGGAGTTTGAGAGATATAGTAGTGGGGAGGCAGGAAGGGAGAGGCCTCACCCACGCCCACCCCGCGCCAGAGAAGGTCCTGCCCAGCACCTTACACCGCGCCCCCCACGACCCCCCAGGACACACACACCTGCACACACACCTTCGTCAGGTACACAGGCCCCTCTCAAGTACAATATATATCCTTAAGACATATTATACACAGCGTTAATACAAGTTCATGTTAAATATACACACACGTTCTTACCTGTATATGTGTATATACAAGCTGGAAGTAAAAAGTAATTACACACTCCCCCATACATACATACATACATACATACATACATACATACATACATACATACATACATACATACATACATACATACATACATACACGTCATCAGCGTCACACTAACAAATAATGGGGAGTCAAGTTGTTCCCGTAAACACGTCGAGAAGTTGTCCAGTGAACAATTAAGGAAATGTTTGTTGTGTTGTAATTGGGCGTCTCTCTCTCTCTCTCTCTCTCTCTCTCTCTCTCTCTGTCTTTGTCTCACGCCCGTATTATTAAACAACATCCTCCCTTGAAGTGGGTCGTCGTGTTTCAACCCGAGTTTTAAACTAAATGAGTCCTGAGGGACACCACAGTACAGTTGAAACACGACGACCCTCTTCAAGGGAAGATATTGTTTAATAATACGGGCGCTAGTCTCTCGCTCTCTATCGTTCTCCCTTTATCTCTCTTGCTCCCTCTTTCTCTGTGTTTCTCGCTCTCAATCACTTTCCTTCTCTCTATCGTTCTTCCTCCCTTCCTCTCTCTCTCTCACGCTCTCTCTCTCTCTCTCTCTCTCCTGGAAACATTCAGGTCGTTTACAATACAACAACTGCTCTTCAACGCCACCAATTTACACCACATAATCCCACTCCGAAACAATAACTAAATACTTGTCGACACGCCACCTGTTGCCGGTGAGGGAGCCGACGCAGCGCCCGCCGTTTAGACAGGAGGTGGGCGTGCACGTCTCCAGGTCATGGGCGTAGCAGACGTGGGCGCGGGTGAGGCGTGGGGTTACTAACGAGGTGGAGTTTATGTCCACTACCTGCAAAGAAGATGGTTTAGTGGGTCCAGGTGCGAGGTTACATACATACATACATGTATGGTTGCCCCTCGTGTAACGAGGATGGCCGGCCCAAGGACCACCTAAGGGTGAATTTGTTTAAGGTGTAGAAGCTGTCGCCAACACAACAACCACACCCCGAGTTAACGAGTAGCATGACCCAGTGTCACGGAATAGTCCAAGAAGACCGGACAACTCGCCAACTGCACTGGCTAACATCCAGGTCCCCTAATTACTGCTGGGTAGACAGAGGCAAATGGCGTTAAGAAAGTTGCCCATAGTTTCACCCTGCCCGGGGATCGAACCCGGGTCCGTTCGCTTGCGAGGCGAAGATGCTGACCATTACTCCATAGGTCGCCACATACATACATACATACATACATACATACATATACATACATACATACATACATACATACATACATACATCTAATATTCCCCCCCACGTATCTTTTCCTCTCATTAATACTAAATACATAACATTACCTTTTAAAACACCTTAATTAATAACTTCCCCCTCTAATAACCTGACCTCCTTCCCTCAACAAAGCCAGGTCAACCTTGGTCAACCTTCTCTCTACACGACTTAATTAACTTCTCCATATGACCGAATGAACTGGATGTGTAAATTACCTGTAGCGGGAGGGTTGTGGAGGCCCTGTAGGCGGCGGAGGAGGGGTCAGGTGGGCCGCCGTCGTGGAGGAGGGACGGGAAGGTCAGGTAGTGTTGGGTGTTGGTCGCACCTCCACCAGACCCTCCTGACGACGGGGCCTCCGCTACCACTGTTAGGTTGGTCGCCGCCTCTACCTGTAATCAACGGTGAGTGGGGGGAAGAGGGGAGGAAGAGGGGGAGAGGGGAGAAAAGAGGGGAGAAGGGGAGAGGGAGAAGGGGGAGGAGGGAAGTGGGGGGGTGGAATAGGGGCGAGAGGGAGGAAAAGGGAGGGACGAGAGAAAGGGGGGGAAAGGGGCGGGGGGGGGGAAAGGGGCGGGAGAGGGGAGAGATACGGCAGGGAAAATATTTATATAGTACAGTGGTCTTGAAGTTGTTATCGAATTTATATCCTTTACTATTTAGTGTATGCATTCAGTTATTAAATTCAATTGATTTCTATAGTTTTGGGATCACCTAAAAATTGCCCACAAGTTTACACTTTTTGGTTAACCACCCTAGCCTAACCTAACCTAACCACCCTAACCTAACCTAACCTAACCTAACCTAACCTAACCTAGTATATCAGTTATCAGTGTACAAGAAAACTTACAATATTAGTTGTAATTCTCAATCAAACTCGAGATTAATGTTTATCCAGGAATATATTAATTTTATTCCTTCCTTAAATTTCATGTTTGATATAAAGTTTTGGCATTTGAGGAAAAAATAATTGAATTCTATTTACCCGAGCGCTTCCAGTTAACACACGAGTGAGTAAGACTGATGAGCCAAACTCTTACAATAACAGAACCTCTTAATACTTTGTTGTCACACACGGGGCTAAACTAACAACATCTTTAACTCGTCATGTTATTATCTACGTCACTACTTGTTATCATTAATCAAACTTCATTCTAATGTTGATGTGACAAACTCAATTTATTATTTAGTTCATTGAGTCGATAACTTGATATTGAGGAACTTGAGTAGCTTCCCTCATAACTTAGGACATATTGCCTCTGTGTATGTCAAAGTGAGATGGGGTGACCCGTATTATATTCCCGTGTTGCTTATTATTAAGGTTTCCAGCCCACCGGACACTAAGGCAATATCCTGGTTTGGTTCCTGTGTTTAGTGAGACGGACTGACCTGGTGTGAACGTAATGCTAGAAGACCCTGTAACTTAATGGGGTCCATGAAGCCTCCCTGACTTTCCCTCACGTTCACCCACACACAGGCTGAGGGGGCGTGGGTCATCCAATGTTGTGAGCGTGTGGGCGTGTTGGTAAAGATGCTAGCAGATCCGGGAGTATGGTAAGGGTGGGTGTGGCCAGCGTCGTTGTGGTCTAGGTGGGCGTCATCTAGGTGGGTGGGGTCTGGGTGGGTGTAGACACTGACCACTTCTACTGTATGGGCGGCCTCCCCCACCACCCGCAACACACCCTGTATCACCCGTCCCAGCCCGCCCCCGCCGTGCTGCTCACCACCACAACAAACACAAAACGATGTACTGTATGTATTGTTGACACTGTTCACTATTGGAATAAATAAACACGAACAAAAACATCATAAGAGACAAGTTACATTATCAACAACTTTAGTCTAATTAACACAGGACTCTCACCTCTGGCGTCCATCCCCGGGTGAGGTGGGCGGGCGTGGTGGGCGTGAGGGTGACGGGGGCGGCGTGGGCGAGGGCATCAGGAGTCAGCACCTTCACCGTCACCGTCACATTGGCCGCCACGTCTCGCTGTCCCCACAGATGGTCGCTCACCGTAAACTGTAGCTCATACCTGTAAGAGTCACACTCACCTGGCTTATGGGCGGGCTCTCTCTCTCTCTCTCTCTCACACACACACACACACACACACACACACACACACACACACACACACACACTACTACTTTGCTGTCACTCGGAATCGAGTATGACGATCATCCAGCTGTGAAACAATGATATTAGGGATGTCACCTTCGTTGGTGAGTTTTGAGGTGACTAAAGAGGCCGATACGGGACCGTCAGCGTCGTTCACATTCGTTGCACATGTGGAGGGCTCCATCTACTGCGGGAGGGGTGGTGGCAGTGTCTTTCCGGCGTTGGCGCTTGTCTGCCTCGGGTTGCAATCGGTATAACTCGAAAACATACACACCTTCTCGTGCGGTGCTCCTCCAAGCGTTACGATGTGGAGTAATCGACTCCCAGGTGTGGGGGTCGATTTGTCACTTTTTTAGGTTTGTTTTAAGACTATCCTTATACCTTTTCAATTGCCCGCCGGCGCTACGTTTACTATTCGTTAGGGCACTGTAAAGTAGCTACTTTGGCAGTCTACTGTCATCCATGCGGGTAACATGGCCAGTCCAACGTAGTTGTTCCTGGATAATGGTAGCCTCGATGCTCCTACAGTTGGTGTCAGCAAGAATACTGTAGATAATTTCAGCTCCCTACAGCAGAAGACATTATTTCGGAGTTTGCCAAAGGCTTGAGATGCACATCTGATCCGATGCTGAATCTCTCATCGATGTCTGCCGTGGTGGACAGGTGGGAGCCGAGATACCGAAAGTGGGTAACATTAGAGAGGGTAGTACCGTTAAGCTGGATGGATGGTGGAGGTGTGTCTGAACCAGGGGCAGGTTGAAAGAGAGTCTGAGTCGTATGTACATTCACCTCAAGGCCGAAGTGTGCATACACGTCTGCGTAGGTGTTCAGGATCTCCTGTAGGTCGTGTTCAGTGTGAGCAACAAGAGTGAGGTCGTCTGCAAACTGAAGTTCAGTAATGGAAACTGCTGACACCTCTGTTCTTTCCTGGAGTCGTCTTATGTTGAAAAGACCCCCCTTCACCCGGTACTCGATGTTCACCCCGCTGGCTAAACTGGCACTGGCACGAGTAAGAAAGGCAGCCAAGACGATGGAAAAGAGAGTTGGTATCAGTACACACCCTTGTTTAAGCCCTGTTTGGATGGGGAAGAACTCTGACTGGGTGCCGTTGTGCAGGACACCGCCGTTCATGCCACCGTGGAGTTGCCTCACAAAGGCGATGAGTTTTAGTGGACACCAAAACGGCTGAGGTTCCACCAGAGGGCTTCCCTGTTGACCGAGTCGAAGGCCATGGCTAGGTTGATGAAAGTCATGTACAGGTCACGACGCTGTTCTCTGCACTTTTCCTGTATCTGGCGGGCAGTAAAGATCATGTCAGTGGTGCCATATGATGGTCTAAAACCACATTGAGATTCTGGGAAGAAGTTTTCCGCCTCAGGAGGAAGTCTGTTTAGGAGGACTCGGGCGATAATCTTGCCAGCGACGGAGAGCAGCGAGATCCCACGGTAGTTGCTACAGTCTGACCGATCTCCCTTGTTCCTATAAATATTGAAAATGGAGGCGTCTTTAAGAGCTTGGGGAATTACCTTCTTTTCCCATATATTCTCCAGGAGAAAGTGGAGACGGCTGGTAAGCAGAGGTCCTCCTGCTTTATACACCACGGCTGAGATTCCATGAAGCCCTGAGGCTTTGTTATTTTCCATCTGTTTGATGGCAGTAGCTACCTCATCCAGGGATGGAGGATAGCTGAGGTGGGTCAGCTCTGGATGCTGAGGGACCTGCTGGGTAGTCAGGACATCCACATCGGTGTTTCGGTTGAGCAATGAATGGTAGTGCTCTTTCCAGTGCTGAAGGAGAACTTCAGCGCGGAGGGGGCTGCACCCCGAGTGACATAAAATGTTTAAGGGGAAATGAAAATTTCGTGCATCTTGTGCTGATCTGCAAGTTTTTGTGCTTCACATGATTTATTTTTAAGCCAGTCGTTCTTAAGATTGTGGAGTTCTCGCTGGGCTGCCGCTTTCTTCTTGCGGAAGGTATTAGCTTTGGTCCGAGACTGAGGGTTATTCTGCCAGTCAGTAAAAGCAGCACGTTTATCTTCAATGAGTACTTTGATTGCCGAGTCATTTTCATCAAACCAGTCCTGGTGTGTTCTTTTGATGTGGCCGAGGGTCTCTCTGCAGGTTTTTGTCAAAACAGTATTAAGATTATCCCATTCGACACTTGTATCTGCCAAGGTTAATCCACAAGGCAGCAGGGCGAAGGTTGGTAGGCGCCAGGACGTGTTCACATACTAGTGGGCCTATGCGCCGTCCCTCTGGGGCCCACTGCTACTCCGAGATCCCCTGCTGGTCTAGCCTGGGTCCACGAGGCACCCAGTTACCGTGTGTTGCCACGAGGAGGCACAGCAGGAGTCTTGATGGTGCGGAGGCTGTGTACTGGCAGGGGAAGATTTATGCAAGTTGCTTCCCTGTTCGCCACGAGGGCTAGCCAGCGGCGGCAGCTGAAAGCGGGAGGGAGCAGGCAGTGCCTGCACCTTAACACTAACATAATGCTGCCACTTTTGACGCATTTCACCACCCCTGTGTGTGGCTGCACACACACACACACACACCTTTAAGAGTTAACTTCACAGAGGAACCAACAGCAGGCACGAGGAACTGTCACACGTCAAGGTGGTTCGAGAAGAGTGTGTGTGTGTGTGTTTGTGTGTGACGAGAATACATGACGAATCTACACACACACACACACACACACACACACACACACACACACACACACACACACACACTGCCTCTTACTCCTCGTCAAGTAGGAACCATAACTCTGGCTAATAAAGATGAACACGACTGACTAATACACTGTTGATAGGAGGGGGAACTTCAAAGCCATGCAAGTTTCATAAGGAATAATATTTTCCTAAAGTCATTGAACGTTAATTACATTTTAGGTATTAAGTGATGAACGAAGATTATTGGAACTCTTGGTTTAGTTGAGGAAAATATCAAGGTGTTTTAGGAATTATTTACAGTTCACGTAGATATAATATACCTGTATACCTTCACTAAAGACAGGTTATGTTGTGATTTTTATTGCATTAATGTCTTAACCTTTTACAATCTAAGTATGAGTTATATTTTTTACATCTGTTTAAGAAAATTATATCACCGATTACTGAAAGCAATTGTTGAAATAATTATTTACAACAAATACTTTACTAAATAGATCATCAATATAACTGTTAAATATTGTGAGTGATAATATTAAAATTTGTCATCGTGTTTCCGGCAGCTCAACGGCATCTTCTCCTCAAACCTCATATCAGCAGACGAGAGAACTGTCGATTCAATTGTATAAGACAAATGTGTTTTCACGTTTTCTGATGACGAAGATTTTTACAGCGTTCAGTCAACTTTTAGTCAACGAGTGGAAGGAAAAAAATTCTTTGTATTTTGTCTGGTTCTGTAATCATCATCATCATCGTTATTATCATTGTCTATATCATCATCATCATCATTCATCGTCATTCATCGTCATCATTACTACTGGACACAATCAGAGGTCAGGGTTACTCAGATCATGGATACAAGCAGAGGTCAGGGCCACTCAGATCATGGACACAATCAGAGGTCAGGGCCACTCAGATCATGGACACAAGTAGAGGTCAAGGCCACTCAGATCTTGGACACATGCAGAGGTCAGGGCCACTCAGATCATGGATACAAGCAGAGGTCAGGGCCACTCAGATCATGGACACAATCAGAGGTCAGGGCCACTCAGATCATGGACACAAGCAGAGGTCAAGGCCACTCAGATCAAGAACACAAGAGGTCAGGGTCACTCAGATCAAGAACACAATCGGAGGTCAGGGTCACTCAGATCAAGAACACAAGCAAAGGTCAGGGTCCACTCAGATCATGGACACAACAGAGGTCAGGGTCAGGGCCACTCAGATCAAGAACGCAATGAGAGGTCAGGGTCACTCAGATCATGGACACAATCAGAGGTCAGGGCCACTCAGATATGGACACAATCAGAGGTCAGGGTCACTCAGATCATGGACACAATCAGAGGTCAGGGTCACTCAGATCATGGAAACAATCAGAGGTCAGGCTCACTCAGATTAAGGACACAATGAGAGGTCAGGGTCACTCAGATCATGGACACAATCAGAGGTCAGGGCCACTCAGATCATGGACACAATCAGAGGTCAGGGCCACTCAGCACAATCAGAGGTCAGGGCCACTCAGGGACACAATCAGAGGTCAGGGTCACTCAGATCATGGACACAATCAGAGGTCAGGGCCTCAGATCATGGACACAATCAGAGGTCAGGGCCACTCAGATCATGGACACAATCAGAGGTCAGGGTCACTCAGATCATGGACACAATCAGAGGTCAGGGTCACTCAGATCATGGAAACAATCAGAGGTCAGGCTCACTCAGATTAAGGACGCAGAATGTGGCCGCACCGTGAAATTGGTTGGTCTGTATTAGTAATGTTATTTACACCCAGGGAGTACAGTACGGTACAGTCTTGTTGGACCGCCGTGTTGCAGTCAATACTTTCTCTTGAACTATATTTTTATCTTGATGTATTTAATATTATTCTGACAGTCCTCCCCTGACTTTGTGAGAGAGAGAGAGAGAGAGAGAGAGAGAGAGAGAGAGAGAGAGAGGAACACTAGGTAGTGACTCCTACACGCGTGAACCTGACCTTATCGCTCCTAGTAGACACATTAATGAATCAGCAAGTACTCCTGGGTTTTCCTGTAAGCAATATGGGCGAACATACAGACGGTGGTAGAAACATTCACTGTACCACAGAGGAGCGTTGCACCACTCCCCGTAGCTGTCTTTGTCCACCAGCCGCCTCCCCGCTCCACAGTCCCTCACACAACATAAACTAAATTTTGCTTTTTGGCTGAACAAATCTAATTTGTGTCAGGGGAGGATTAAGCATCTGTATAAATAAATAAATAAATAAATAAATAAATAAATAAGTATATATATATATATATATATATATATATATATATATATATATATATATATATATATATATATATATATATATAAATAAATAAATAAATAAATAAATAAATAAATAAATAAATAAATAAATAAATAAATAAATATATATATATATATATATATATATATATATATATATATATATATATATATATATATATATATATATATATATATATATATATATATATATATATGCTTAATTCCACCATATTAACATGTAAATGATGTATATTAGCGATGATTGTTGCTGGTGTGATGGTTATATCACAGAGCGGCGGTGGTCGAGGGACAACTGCTCTCTATCGCACTACTGTCTATGTTCACCTTTATGTTAACATTTGTAACTGTACAAGTTTTAGCGTAAATATTCTGACCACAGTGTGGGAGACACTGTGTGGGGGACACTGTGGGGGACAGTGTGGGGTACATGGTATGGGGGACACTGTGTGGGGACACTGTGTGGGGACATAGTATGGGGACACTGTGTGGGGACACACAGTGTGGGGACATAGTATGGGTGACATAGTATGGGTGACACTGTGGGGGACACAGTGTGGGGGACACAGTGTGGGGACACTGTGTGGGGGACACTGTGTGGGGGACACTGTGGGGACACAGTGTGGGGGGGACAGTGTGTGGGGGACACTGTGTGGGGACACAGTGTGGGGGACAGTATGGAGGACACAGTGTGGGGGACATAGTATGGAGGACACAGTGTGGGGATAGTGTGGGACACAGTGTGGGGACAGTGTGGGGGCACAGTGTGGGGGACAGTTGTGATAGATCCTGAAGGTGCACTGGGAGACATGTTGCCTCCACTCACACATCCTGGGGCCGGGGGGGGGGTGGGGGGGGTGCTGCTGTGTGCCTGTGAAGGTAACGCGGCTGACCAACAGACACACTGGCAAAACATCTCTCACACGCGAAGACCATCCATCATCAGTTAGTTCAGGAAAGCTGAGGATAGAGCTAAAACCTGGAAGTGGGTCCCAAAGGCTTGGCTGCCCCTAGTGGCTGTGGATACAACACACTGTATCAACCTTCGGTACAAGAGGAGACAGGATGGTCGGCACTGCACTCGACCGCCTTCACCTCCCCAACTGTAAACTTAGGTGTCCTCTCCTATGTAAACGCAACAAGAAAACTATACATGGGTTTTTGTCACTTTATTTGTTCACCCGAGTATAAATGTTATGAGAGAGGAGGACTTATCATCCCTCGGGTCAGGTGTGAGAGTAGAGGTGTGTACAGGTGTGTGGATGAAGGGAAGGAAGTACTTATCTTATCTAGGAAAATATAAATGTTCCGGATGGAAAAAATGGTGGTGAGGGAGGGAGGGAGGGAGGGAGGGAGGGAGACTTACCTGCCGGCTCTGACCTGGCTGGAGGCAAAGATGTCACCAGTTTGGGTGTTGAGGGAGAAGACCGGGTGAGGAGAACCTTGCCAGCTGAAGGTCTTGTCCGCCAGGTCCCAGTCGTCGGGGTCCTCCACGTACACCCGACCTAGGGGCGCCTCCGACCCCCCGCCCTGCAGGAGAGTAACGCCAGGGTGTCACGGGTGAAGGTTCAACAGCTACACAGTCCTCAGTAAAGTGAAGCAAGAGATGACGTAAATCACTTGTTTAATGTACAGTCACAAGTAATAGTCCTGTCGCTGCTCCACGAACCCCGAGACTCAGACTGGTGATCCCGAAGCAGCAGACACTGATGCATTAGTCTGTCCATAAATGTTTCGAAATCAACCTGTGTGAACCTGAGGTAACAAGACTAATAATGTTTTTACCTTTAAATAAACAGCTCTACATTTATGATATTATTATTGTCTTCTATCAAAAGTGTTACCCATAAGATCAATAGTACTTTCAGCGACTTTAAGATTACTTGGAGGTTGAGGCGGCTCCTTGTTGTCAGATTGCATAATAAAGGGTGAAACTCTCGCCCAAGTTTGTTATTAAGACACAAATATTAAAGTGTAATAGGAAGGTGCAGCTGTGTACCTCAACAACCATCACCACAAACTTTATATTAACGTATTTGTTCCTTCGTTTCTCTGGTACCAAGTGTGTAGACGAGTGTGTATCAGGAGGCCGGGGCGAGACGGGGAGCTATGACAATGAAAACAAAGAAGCCAGAAATGATAAAATAATGAATAAATCGTCATCTTACATTGTACTGTCACTCGTTTTGTTCAGGCCCAGAGCGTCTTGTATATTGCCTGTGATTCATTATCTTATTTACTACCTCAGGTAAGGTGCGACTCAACCTGTTGATTAAGAATTTGTGGCCAAAAAGTTGTGATTTTGGTTATTATTTGTAATGACACTTGAATAGAGTTCTCGTTATACTTCACTAATTTCTTGTCCCTTGCGAGTTTTTGATGTTGTTTGTTAGTGTTTTGTTTCTTATCCTGGAGCTGTTGAAGTACAGGTAAACAAATCAGTGTATCATAAACGACAGAAAACAACACTTCTAGGGCCGTTCTGACCTAGAGGTTAACTGGCTAGGTTAGGTTAGGTTAGGTTATTCATCTAAGAAATTCGCAAGAAATCATTAAATTTCACACTGAAATTAACCTAACCTAACCTAACCTAACCTTCCTCCACCTGTTGGTAAAGTTAATTAACACACCTGAGTCTTCCAGAGGTAGACGGTCTTGGCCGCGGGCTTCATGGGGTTGTCGTTGATGTCGTCGACGATGATGGTGACGGTGTGGGTGGCGGCCATCCCCCCAGCGTCAGCCACCAACACCCCCACCAGCAGCTGACGGTGTTCCTCCCTGTCCACGGCGCCTACCGTCCACACCTCCGCCCCGCCCCGTCCACTGTCCAGGTCTTAGGGATAAGGTACATATTGTGTTAAACCTTGTCTAGGGAGAGTGACACACACACACACACACAAATCTAATGGACGGACAAACAAACAAAGTTATGTTGTATACCCATGATCTTACCTTAGCGGGGTATAACATTATCTTGGCAGCGGCTGGACAACAGGCAGAGTCAAAATTTCAGGTAAAATATTTGTGAAATTTAATCTAGGTGACGGCAAGTGTTAGAGGGGGAGGTAACCTGGGGTGTAATTAGTGCCTTTTACAGTATAAATCTACCAGTTTTTGGCGAGTGTTGTGAGTCCGGCAGTTAATGACATAAATTAATGTTTTGTTGTGGAGGACAAGTGTGTGTTAAAGGTAAACATTAATAATAAACTTTATGTACTCACGAGGGTCGAACTTGATGTTGATGTGGGCGAGGACATGGGCGGGGTTGGTGGGCGCCAGGGAGAGGTTGAAGGGCGGGCCATGGCCCAGCGCCCACACGTCGTGGTCGGTGGCGGTGAGGGAGCCAAGGAGTGTTGGGGCGGCGCCCTCCGTCACATGGAAGACTGTGGGCGGCAATAGGACGGGCGGACTGTCGTTGACGTCGGTGACGGTGATGGTGAGGGTGGCGGTGGCGGAGAGGGGCGGCCGCCCACGGTCCACACCCACGATCTTGGCCACACCTATAGCGCCGTCAGGAGCCTCGCGGTCCAGCGCGTGACGCAGGCTGACTCCTCCCTCAGAGTCGACAGTGAGGGCGCCCCAGCCCCCCTCCACCCGGTACAGCACCTCCCCCACCCCGCCCTGGGCAGGGACAGCGGATGTGTCAGCAATTAGTGGACAGTGCGTAATTTCATTCGTATTTTAACTGTTACAAAGTTTTAGACACACGTGTTTCTGTGGCAGTGTTGTGCGAGGCAAGGTTTTCTTTATCACAATAATATATAAACAAATACTGTGATTACTCTCCTTTGTCTTATATAACATTAAACTTAATATTAACATCATGATACTCAGGAAAAAAAAATGTCAGTCAGTATTTACTTTTTCTTTGGCGGCCAGCGTCATCAGCAGCCAGGGTCGGCCAGCAGCGACCTGTCAGGTACACGTTGGGGAAATGTGTTCCTACACCACCTGCAGTAACCCGTGTCTCCAAACAGCCAACCTATATGACCTATAGCAAACCTATCCACCACTCACGTCCGCCGTTACACGAACAATACCGCACGTAAGGTACACGAGAAGGTCTTATGAACATTAGACAAAGACAATAATTACTCTTGAGAAATGCTTACATGAACGTTGGTAGATTCTGGTCCATATCACTAAATGGACGAAGAGTAGGATTAGTGTGCGTGTGTACCTTAAGATAAAACCAAAGTCAGAGCAGCAAGCACAACCACTGGGGATTATAACCAGCCATTAAGCCACCAGGTGTGATCTAACAGCACAAGGTAACCAGGACGAACAAACTCAAAGAAAAATTGATATTAATAGAATCTTGTCTCAATAATTTCACCTCCTTATGTCATCGCTATTTTCCCGTAGTTCACTCTAGATGTTGTTAGGGTGATGTGGTGGAGCTAGGGTGATGTGGTGGTACTAGGGTGGGGGGTAGGTGATGTGGTGGTAGGGTGATGTGGTGGTACTAGGGTGGGGGGGTGCTAGGGTGATGTGGTGGTACTAGGGTGGGGGGGTGCTAGGGTGATGTGGTGGTACTAGAGTGGTGTGAGGCGTTGCTAGAGTGATGTGGGACGTTGCTAGGGTGATATAGGTGTTGACAGAGACTCGTGGCGAATACTACTGAGTCGACTGTGGGTTAATGGAGGATATTTTTACCATTTACTTCATCCCAATTACATGTAGAAATACGAATTGCCTATTTGGAGTATGGTGGAGGGGGGGAGGTGGGTGGGTGAAAGAGGGGAAGAGTGGAAGAGAAGTGGGGGAAGAGGGGGAGTGGGGGGAGAAAGAGGGGGGAAGAGGGTGGAAAGGATGAGGTGGACTGGGAAATAGCGCTCAAGAGTTAATAGAAATGGTTGAGAGAGAGAGAGAGAGAGAGAGAGAGAGAGAGAGAGAGAGTGAGTGTGACAGATAGACAGACAGAAGAAACAGAACAAGTCAAGACAGACAAAATTCCCAAACGATACAATACGGGAAAAATGATTCAATTACAAGACATAATAAGTCAGTCAGTCATTTACCCGCGCGGGAGAGAACTGAATCATCATACGTGTGGCATCCCTCCCCTCCTTCAGGCTGCACACACTCACTCTCTCGCTTCTTGAAATTTCACACAATTCCTTATGCAGATTCAAGGAGAAAATTAACATGACGTCTTTTCCTACACGCTATGAGCACGTAAGTCACTTCTTTTACTCACCGGAAATATGTGTGGACTTGTTTCTATAGTGAGAGTTACTTAGAGTGGAAAAAAAAAACATTTAGATTATATTATTGTTGTTTCCGTCTGGTTAAATTCCACATGTTAAATATTGTTATTTTTTTTTCCCGAGGTGTCTAACAGGATCTGAGTTTACTAAATAGGTGTTAAACTCATAGCCTTCACCATTACACGTTATCTTCAATGGACCATAAGACCCGTAAAGTAACTAAGACCAAGAAAGAAAATCCTATCGTCATCTGAGTGTATACATTAGAACACACACACACACAGGAGGCTTCATAGAGTTAATCCCATTATAATGTGGCCTTCGGGTAATGAGGTAAGAATTCTCAATTAGTGTAATGTAATAAAAGTGTTCTTGTTTGTTTTATGTTTTAACACCTGGTTGAGAGGTGTACACTAATTACCCAGAGTTTTGTGGTTGTGGTTGAGGGTTTTAAATAGCCAGGATGGTTAAACCTTTGTGGGAGGGGTGGTTTAATTCTTTGAGGATGATGGTTTAAACCCCCCTTTGAAGGCGATGGCATAAATCTAAAGAGGGCATACACTAATACAGTACACACACACGCACACACAGAGACGCACACACACAGAGACACACACACACGGGTATATTCTCTGTCTCCTCCTCGACTGCAACCAAAATAACAAATGCAAATGCCAATACTCGGAGCCCAATGCTAAGAAGACTTCATTTGTCCTGCCGCCAGAGTCCTTCCCAGAGAGTGTTAAGCAGGACACATTTCACCGGGATGCCTTAGAGAAAATACTTGGTGGATATGAAGGAATGAAAATCTCCTTTGACACGCCAGAAAAATCGACTCTGTCTTGGATTTTGTGACTGTGTTTGTGTGTATGTATATCTGTATTGTGTATGTATATTGTATTAATGTATTTTTTATGCATTTACCTTTACTAACCCAACATAAAACGAACTAAACTAACCTAACCTAACCTAAGCTAACCCAACCCAACCTAACCTGACACAACCCAACCTAACCTGACCTGACACAAACCAACCTAACCTAACCTAACCTAACATAACCTAACCTAACCTAACCCAACCCAACCTGACACAACCCAAACCTAACCCGACCCCACCCAGCCTAACCATTTATTCCGAAGGGGGTAATCTCAGCTCGCCTCAAGCCCTCAAACCTTCGATGAAACTAAGCATGACCAGAGTACCTCCAGTACACCTTCAGTACACTCTAATTACACATACTGATACACCCACAGTCAACTCTACACCTTGTTATTTGGAAAGACGTCGTATTTAGTGCTCTTGTAACTTACCTGACCAAGTATGACTGGAAAAACGACTCGAGTCAAATGTAAAAAAAACGGGACATTGGTTTAACATTGAGGAGCAACTTAGTGTGACGCCAAAACACTGTGTGGGTGAGTGTTGGTGGTAGTGGTGGTGGTGGTTTTTGTTGTTAAATTCTCTTGGGTGAAACTGAATTAGTGCTTTCGTTTCATATCGTTCCGTGTGTCAAGAGTATAGTTCCATGTGTCAAAAGTATAGTTCAATGTGTGTCAAAAGTATCGTTCCGTGTGTCAAAAGTATCGTTCCGTGTGTCAAAAGTATCGTTCCGTGTGTCAAAAGTATCGTTCCATGTGTCAAAAGTATAGTTCCGTGTGTCAAAAGTATCGTTCCATGTGTCAAAAGTATCGTTCCGTGTGTCAAAAGTATCGTTCCGTGTGTCAAAAGTATCGTTCCGTGTGTCAAAAGTATAGTTCCGTGTGTCAAAAGTATCGTTCCGTGTGTCAAAAGTATAGTTCCATGTGTCAAAAGTATCGTTCCGTGTGTTAAAAGTATCGTTCATGTGTCAAAAGTATAGTTCCGTGTGTCAAAAGTATCGTTCCATGTGTCAAAAGTATCGTTCCGTGTGTCAAAAGTATCGTTCCGTGTGTCAAAAGTATCGTTCCGTATCAGCGTCAAATTACCGGCCGATCAGTTTGACGTCAGTAGTGGGGAAATTTCTTGAATCAATTATAGCAGATAGCATCCGATCGCATCTAGAGAATTGCAAATTAATCTACGACTCTCAACATGGGTTTACAAAGGGAAAATCTTGTCAAACAAATCTGCTGACGTTTTTTAGGAAAGTCTTCGAGGTAGTAGATAATGACGAAAATACGATGTTATTTACTTAGACTTTAGCAAAGCATTTGACAGAGTACCGCATCAGAGGCTTCTGAGAAAAGTTAAGGCTCATGGTATCGAGGGGAAAGTTTTAAATTGTATAAAATCATGGCTCACCGATAGAACGCAGAGGGTCAGCGTAGATGGTGTTAAATCTGAGTGGGGTTGTGTAACCAGTGGGGTTCCCCAGGGGTCAGTACTAGGCCCACTCTTGCTCACAATCTACATAAACGATCTAGATACTGGGATCAGCAGTGACATAAGCAAGTTTGCGGATGACACCAAAATAGGGCGGCAGATTAATTCAGGGCAGGATGCAAATGCATTACAGGAGGATCTAAATAAACTGCAGGGGTGGTCTGAAAAATGGCAAATGAAATTCAACACCAGCAAGTGCAGCGTACTTAATATTGGAAGTACAAATACTGTCAATGTATACAGCCTTAACAACATCAACCTAGAGAAGTCGACTTGTGAAAGAGACCTAGGGGTACTTGTAAGCCCGGACCTACGGCTAGAAAACAGTGCGTTAATGATCGAAATAAGGCAAACAGAGTATTGGGTTTTATATCTAGAAGTGTAAGTAATAAGAGTGCAGAGGTCTTATTGCAACTATATCTTGCGCTAGTCGGCCGCACCTCGATTATGCGGTTCAGTTCTGGTGCCCTTATTATAGAATGGATATCAATTCACTAGAGTCGGTGCAGCGAAGAATGACGAAAATGATTCCGGGACTTAGAAACCTTCCATATCAGGATAGGTTAAAGAAACTTGACTTGCATTCCCTAGAAAGACGAAGAGTGCGGGGAGATATGATAGAAGTATTTAAGTGGGTGAAAGTAATCAAAGGGGATATAGATAAAGTTCTTATAATATCCGAGCAGGATAGGACTCGGAGCAACGGATTTAAGTTGGATAAGTTTAGGTTTAGGAGGGAGATAGGAAGAAACTGGTTCACAAATAGGGTGGTGGACGAGTGGAACAAGCTTAACAACTTTGTAGTAAGTGCTGGAACTCTGGAAAGTTTCAAAAGGAGGCTAGGTAGATTCATGGATGATAGAGAGTGGTAGTAACTCTCGACAGGAGCTGCCATGCACAGGCCAACCGGCCTATTGCAAACTCCTTATTTTTTTATGTTCTTATGTTCAACAAGAGTCTCTGGAGGCCATGAAGGTGATAATGAAGTAAAACAAGTCAAGTACAACAATTAAGTGACTATGTACGATAACTTCCCTTGGCCTCACGCTTAATCTAATGCAGCCATCAGTTCGAAATATTATACACATTTAAACTAAAGTCAATTGTTATTATATTCCCTATTAGTGAAATTAATAGACAAACAACTATAATTATATTCAGTAATTAACTTTCCGGCACAGGTAAGGTCCAGGTAGTTTCAGAAGGATGGGTTATTGTTCAGTTTTATGAGAGTCGTCAGTTATTATCGTGTTAATTAATGTTGTTACTAAGGTCGGTGATTTACTGCTGGGTGTTATAAACTAATTTATCTCGACTTATTCGAATTAATATTACTGATAAGTTATGCTAATACCAGCTAATAATGACGTGTACTTTATCTTATTGGGTTATTCGTTTAATGGTACCTGTCCTAATAGGCCCTGTCCTAATAGACCCTAGTCCTAATAAGTCCAGTCCTAGGAAAAAAGAATTGGATCTCATAAGCTTCGCGTCCCGTTTAAACAACTAAGGACACTACAGACAGAATCCTAAATGTTCAATACACAAGGAGAGTTGAGGTGACCTTAGGATGCTAACTAGTGACTCTTACGACAAGAGGTTATCGCTGTGTCCATTCCTTCTATGCCGAGTTGTAGTTGGCTCAGCTCCGATAGGCCCCATTTCAAGGTTTCAAGTAGTTAGGTTAGGGCCTATTGTGTCTGGGGCCCAATAGACGTATAAACTTTCTGATCAAACGTATTGCTGAGTTAAATATTTACACACAACCTCTCGAATAACTGAATAAACTGTGTAAAGAAATGTCACTTATCAGAGAGAATGAGTGACAGGCTGTCCGGACAGTGTGTTTGTGTCACTCAGGACTCTGGGCACCCTACACCAGGCGGGGGAAATGTAACAAACTGAGTAAATGACGGGAAGCCAAATGCACTGATAAACATGTATTATGCAACGTGTGCATTTTTCGAATAGTGGGCGTGTGGGTGTACTTACCATGTGAGGGTAAGGGCGTGTGGGCGTACTCACTATGTCAAGGTGATGGGCGTGTGGGCGTACTCACTATGTCAGGGTAATGGGCGTGTGGGCGTACTCACCATATCAGGATCGTGGGCGGGGAGGGCGGCTAGGAGTGTGCCTGGGGCGGCATCCTCCCTCACAGTAACGTGGGCGTGTGGGCGGTGGAACTTGGGCGGATTGTCGTTGATGTCCCTCAGGCGGATGGACACCCAGGCGGCGTCCACGTGGCGGGGGTCCCTCCATCCCCCGCGACCCTAAGGCGGGGGGGGGGGTCAGTTGATGGTTGTCATGGAAACCAGTAATTAGTGAACGGAAGACTATAATATCTTTCTGTATCAGCTGTACTAAATAATAATACTCCTCCCTCAACTAACCTTGGTACTCACTGCTTCAAACACACCCTGAGTTGAACGAGATCTTCAGTATGAAACAGTGAACTAAAGTAATCTGGTATTACTGTTTATATAAGGAAAGTCGGATACATTATCTTAGTGGGAGAGTAATAGCTTCAGTCGCTGTATCATCCTATATCATCCTGTATCATCCTGTATCTCATTTATCCTCAGTGAAGAGCCAATATTTGTACAGTGTGTTCAGATGAGACTGATCTTGGCTGTGTTTACTGAGGAAGCAACGACCTCGCGCTATGTATGTGTGTATGTGTGTGTGTGTGTGTGTGTGTATGTGTGTATGTGTGTGTGTGTGTGTGCGTGTGCGTGTGTGTGTGTGCGTGTAAGACTCACCCTGTCCGTCACTTGCACCATAAACTTGAAGCCTCGCCGATGAGTGTCGTCCTCGTAGTCAAGTGTCTGGAGGGAGAACAGTTGACCCTCGGCTCCCACAGACCTGATGCCGAAGTGCTCCCAGCCCCACCCGCTGGCCTCCACCACCTGCAGCAGACACAACACCTGTAACACCTGTCTCAACACCTATAACGCCTGTCTCAACACCTGTAACGCCTGCCTCAACACCTGTAACGCCTGCCTCAACACCTGTAACGTCTGCCTCAACACCTGTAACGCCTGCCTCAACACCTGTAACGCCTGTCTCAACACCTGTAACGCCTGCCTCAACACCTGTAATACCTTCCTAAAACCGGTAACACCTGTGTCAACACCTGTAACACCTGCCCAACACTTGTCTCAGTTCCTGTAATACCTTCCCAGCACCTGTAACACCACCCTCAACAACTGTAACACCTCCCTCAACACCTGTAAAACCTTTCAAGCACCTGTAACACCTCCCTCAACACCTGTAACACCTCCCTCAACACCTGTAAAACCTTCCCAACACCTGTAACACCTGTCTTCACCATAGTACACACCAACTACTAGAATCATCCTCTGGTTAAACCCACTGAGGATGATGGTTTAACCCACTGAGGTCGATGGTTTAACCCACTGAGGACGATGGCTTAAACCACTGAGGATGATGGTTTAAGCCACTGAGGACGATGGTTTAAGCCACTGAGGACGATGGTTTAACCCACTGAGGACGATGGTTTAACCCACTGAGGACGATGGTTTAACCCACTGAGGACGATGGTTTAAGCCACTGACGACGATGGTTTAAGCCACTGAGGACGATGGTTTAAGCCACTGAGGACGATGGTTTAACCCACTGAGGACGATGGCTTAAACCACTGAGGATGATGGTTTTAACCCACTGAGGACGATGGTTTAAGCCACTGATGACGATGGTTTTAAGCCGCTGAGGACGATGGTTTACTCCACTGAGGACGATGGTTTTAACCCACTGAGGATGATGGTTTAACCCACTGAGGACGATGGTTTAAACACTGAGGACGATGGTTTAAGCCGCAGGGACGATGGTTTAAGCCACTGAGGACGATGGTTTAAGCCCACTGAGGACGATGGTTTAACCCACTGAGGACGATGGTTTAACCCACTGAGGACGATGGTTTAACCCACTGAGGACGATGGTTTTAGCTACTGAGGACGATGTTTTTAAGCCACTGAGGACGATGGTTTATACTGAGGACGTGGTTTTAACCCACTGAGGGACGAGGGTTTAATACTGAGGACGGGGTTTTAAGCCCACAGGGGACGATGGTTTTAAACCACTGAGGATGAGGGGTTTAACCACTGAGGACGATGGTTTAACCCACTGAGGACGATGGTTTAAACCACTGAGGATGATGGTTTAAGCCATGTAGGACAGATCTCTCCCAGTAGAAAAAAATAAGTTGATACCATATTTTGAAGAAAGTTTTCCCTCACACACAGAGAGAAAGTCCATGAGGAGGGACTTTCTTACTCTGTAGAAAAAAGTCCCTCAGCCAGTAGAAATGGCTTACCCAATACCCTGTACAAAAATCTCTCATTGGTAGAAGTGCCTCAACCTGTAGAAGAACCCCCTCATCCTGTAGGAGAACCCCTCCCTCTATAGAAGAACCCCCGTAGAAGAAGTGCCCCACCCTGTAGAAGACTCTCCTCAAGAACCCCCTGTAGAAGAAGTGCCTCACCCTGTAGAAGAAGTAGTTGGAGGTGTCAGCGTCGAGGGCGGTGATCTGAAGGAGGGTGGAGTCATCAGGTGGTCCAGGGCCCCAGGTCTCGTCTATCTCCACGTCCCACAGTGATTGTTCCAGGCGGGGCGAGTTGTCGTTCACATCCACCAGCCTCACCACCACCACGCCCGTGCCTGAGGTGAGACACGGACACTCAGACTCTCAAACACACACACACACACACACACACACACACACACACACACACACACACACTCTCTCACACACACACACACACACGGACCATACCTCTCACAGTCGTTCACATCCACCAGCCTCACCACCACCACGCCCGTGCCTGAGGTGAGACACGGACACTCAGACTCTCAAACACACACACACACACACACACACACACACACACACACACACACACACACTCTCTCACACACACACACACACACGGACCATACCTCTCACAGTACTCACCTTGGAGACCTCCACCATCTGTGGCCACCACCTGGACCTCGTACTCAGGTGTTGTCTCTCGGTCCAGGCAACAGATGGAGGTACGGACGAGGCCGGTCTCGGGGTGGACGGTGAAGATGGCCTCCCCCGTCGGCTCGTACACCACGTTCTTCTGGATGGTGTAAGTTATCCTGGCGTTGGTGCCCTCTGAGACGTCATCGGCGTCCCAGGCGGCTATCACCACCACTGACAGATCTGACACACACCAGGGTACAGTATTAGTGTCATGCAGCCACCACTTGTTTTCACTACACTTAACACACCAAACACACCTACATTAATCTGTATGTTCACTGTATGTTCCTTTATCTTTCTCTAATGAAGGCTTTTGTTAAACCACCAATGTATGTAATAAGTCATCTATGTCCAATGTATATTTTCAGCCTTTGGGCTGCAGAACTTTTTCAATAAACCGTTAATTATTATTATTATTATTATTATTATTATTATTATTATTATTATTACAAACGCACTACTTATTTCACGAGGTACGGTACATATTTCACAAGGTATCGGTACAAAATATTTCACGAGTTTACGGTACATATTCCACATCATCTTCTGGGTCAAGTAACAGCTAATTTATGGAACTTAGGACTAAAGTGGTGAAAAATGCCTTGAGTAAACGCCATTAAAGACCTGATTAGGGCCATTACACCAGGTCTTAATGCTCTCGGGGTCAGATAATGTCCTGGAGAAGCTGCTTTAATTAATCACCTTTATGCTGCTGTGTCTTTAAGGCGTCAAGTCGGGTCGTTTGTCTCTCGTAAACAATGACGATTAGGATTAGTATTGGGGATTGGGATCAGTGTTGGGGATTTGGATTAGTGTGTTATCAGGATTAGTGTTGAGGATTAGGATTAGTGTTGGGGATTAGGATTAGAGTTAGGGACTAGGATTAGTGTTGGGAATCTGGATTAGTGTTGGGGATTAGGATGTGTTGATCACGATTAGTGTTGGGATTAGGATTAGTGTTGGGGATTGGTATTATTGTTGGGATTAGGATTAGTGTTGGGCATTAGGATTAGTGCTGGGGATTAGGATTAGTGTGTCATCAGGATTAGTGTTGGGGATAAGGATTAGCATTGAGGCTTATGCTTAGTGCTGGGGATTAGGATTAGTGTTGGGAATCAGGATTAGTGTTGGGGATTAGGATTAGTGTTGAGGATCAGCTGATTGAGGTCACGTCATCACAGGTCATAAAAGATCACGTCATTACAGGTCATTAAAAAAGTCACGTCATTGCAGGTCATAGAAGGTCACGTCATCAAAGGTCATAAATGAAGGTCACGTCATTAGAGGACATAAATGAAGGTCACAATTATAGGTCATCAACTAATTTAATCACCTGAATGACCTTCTGATCTAACGGAGAATGTTTTTGACGGGTGAGGGGAGTGTTTTGCTTTTCTTTGTATGACTTAACGTAGATTTCAGCCATTTCTGTCATACATTTTTTCACAGACGAATTTTAACAATACACTCTTTGGTCTTGAGGTGAATGTACGTAAGACTCAGATTCTCTTTCAGCCTGCCCCTGGTTCAGCCACACCTCCACCATCCATCCAGCTTAACGGTACTACCCTCTCTAATGTTACCCACATTCAGTATCTCGGCTCCCACCTGTCCACCACCGCAGACATCGATGAAGAGATTCAACATCGGATCAGATGTGCATCTCAAGCCTTTGGCAAACTCGAGCAGTGGTCCTCCCCACCCTGCTATATGGCAGCGAGACATGGGTTACATACAAGAGGCCCTTCAAGGCACTTGAAAACTTTCACCAACGTAGTCTACGATCCATCCTCCGAGTTCGCTGGGAAGACAAGGGAACAAATGCCAGTATTCTCACTGACACCAACTGTCGGACCATCGAGGCTACCATTATCCACGAACAACTACTTTACAGTCACCTAACGAATGGTAAAGATAATGCTGGCAGGAAACTGAAAAGGTGTAGGAAGAGTCTTAAGACAAACCTGAAAAAGTGCCAAATCGACCCCCTCACCCGGGAGACGATTACTCCACACTGTAACGCTTGGAGGAGCACCACACGAGAAGGTGTCAATACTTTCGAGTTAGCTCGAATGCATACTTAGGCAAGCGCCAGCGCCGGAAAGACGCTGCCACCGCCCCTCCTGCACTAGATGCAGCCCTCCACACGTGCCACATCTGTGGACGACCCTGCCGGTGCTGTATCGGCCTCTCTAGTCGCCTCAGTGCTCGCCAACAAAGGTGACAACCTTATTAACTCATATCATTGTATCATAGCTGGATGACCGTCACACTCGATTCCGAGTGACAGCAAATTAGCAGTAGTGTGTGTGTGTGTGTGTGTGTGTTTAGTACAGCTTTAAAGTACAATTAACAGCTACAGACATATATACAGTGGTCATGGACGTGTGAACTACCATAACAACAACATCAAGAACACAAACATCAACAATAACAGCAACATAGTTCATAATATTCGAGACTAAAACGACACAGAACCAAGACCTAAAATACGGATCACCAGCTCCAGCTCTCTCCTCCCTTCCTCTCTCCACTTATCATTTCCCTCTCCTCTCCCTATCTCCTCCCTCTCCCTGGCCACCAACACAGGATCAAACAACACACACCAGTCATAATCCTCACGGAATCCAGCCAACGTCCCCTTCCCTGCAGTCTATTATACCTGTACACGCTCCAAAGTTTACCTACCTAACCTAACGCGATCCCTCCAAACATCTCTCATCATCCCCACGACCCTCTTATCATCCCACGACCCTCAAACATCTTGTATATGTCTCTCTCATCATCCCACGACCCTCTAACATCTTGTATATGTCTCTCTCATCATCCCACGACCCTCTAACATCTTGTATATGTCTCTCTCATCATCCCACGACCCTCAAACATCTTGTATATGTCTCTCTCATCATCCCACGACCCTCAAACATCTTGTATATGTCTCTCTCTCATCATCCCACGACCCTAAGTTAACCAAAACATCACTTGGGCCATAAACCTGACATCAAAATCACCTACCAACGGTACTCGGAAAAAATGGCACAGGAAAAACGGCAAAATTTTCATACTAGGAAAAAATGGCTCAACAAATTTCACTTCGAGCTCACGAACCACAAACGAGCCTGTGTTTGAAGCTATCCAGCGTATTCGAGTTAATGATGATGTTTGGTAACTTGCTATATCACCTTTGTTTAGCCCTGACTTCCATTTATACACCTCTATCATATCTCGTGTTTTAGTTTGATACATTTGAATGAATCCCTTGGGGTTTGACTTCGCCTCCCTTGCTACCTTCAGTTCAATATTCCTCTTTGCTTTTCTTATCTCGGCCTTAACCCTACCGACCAATACCTTATAATAGTCTCGGAGGTGGATTTCACCACGATTTCTTTTTCTACCTATAGTCTTCCTTTGTCCACTAATATTCTTTAAATAATTGTTTATTCATTTTGTGGTCATTGTTGTTTGATATGAATTTTCTATATGGTATGTTCTGCCTTTGTGCATTAAGTAACTCATTATTTAAATTGTTGTGGAACTCGTCAACCTCAGATCTCGTGATCAGGCCATCTTCAATCGTCGTATTCTGTGAGGTTATCGTTGTCATGTTCACTTGGTAAAGTGAGGTCGTCCTCTGTGGGTACATTGTGTTAGGTCACCTCACGTGAGGTCATGTTTTATGTTATGACGTTGATATAACTAAGTAAGTTTCAGTTACAAACGTTATAAAATTTTAGCGAAAACATGTCATTAAAATTAATGTACCATTTTTTCCTAGTCTGATGATTATGCCTTTTTTCCGGTGCCATATTTTCCTTTGCCTGCATTACCTGCCAACACCTTATGATTCACGACCAGGTGTTATGTCTGAGTTTGTGGTCGAATCTTCACTGGGTAAGATAGATATTTGTAGACCTTGATGTAATTATATCAAGCAGGAGATAAATACACAAAATAATGATAAAAAATGAAAAACAGAGAATGAAAAAGATATCGTTTGACTTAGTACCGACAAATAGATAAAAATAATGAATAAATACAGAAATATTACAAGATGATGATAAATAAAGTAAAGAAAGGAAAATAAATAAGTGTGTAACACAGAAAACAATAAACCCAAGTGTTGGGAGACGTATAGTGTGGCCTTCAAGGAGAATTTGCATGGTTCTCCTCTAACACACCGGGAAACGAAGCATCAGCCAGAGTGGTCAGAGGGGATCCGAGCCCTTAATACTCTCCCAAACATAATCCTTTAGGTTCGGAGCCCATCCTAAAGGGGTTTCCAATACTCACGGTGAAGTTAGGTTGACTTGATGCCTATTACGACTATTTTACAATGGAATTGGGGCCTATTAGATTGGAACCCATTTGAACTAATATTTAAATTGGATGGAAAAAATTAGTAAAAGGCATTTTTGTAATTTTTTTTATACTATTTGGATATTTTTCTTCTGACATGACAGTGATTATTATTATTATTATTATTATTATTATTATTATTATTAAACAATCCTAATCGCTGTGTAAATATTTTCATAAGACAAAATTTTACTTGTACAACGATCACGGAAGGAAATTGGGAGTCTTATCTGTAAACAAGAAATATCCCACCAAATCCCAGAAGACGCCCAGAATCCCGCCAGGATTTTCACTGGACCTAAATGGTCGCATCGTGAAATAATTGGAACACTTTGGCTGGATTATTTTGGTCTGGAGGTAATTTTGAAATATCTTTATTCACTTATTGTGCTTACTGGACGTACGAGTTAAGATTATGTGTAAAAGTGAATATTTCTTCGACTTTTCTTTGCTCTTGTTGCGCTTTCAGAAACAGACAAAGAGACTTTTCTTTACAATTCATGAGAGTTTTACAGTTAACAAAAGACAAGAATCTCTAAGAAGAAAAACGTAGTTAAGATATCAATAATTTTTTGTATACATGTATTACATAGTTATTTTATCGTCAGTAAAGCAAAAGTAACACATGTTCTGGTCGATGGAATACAACATACGTAACACAACAGCATACGTAATACAACTACATACGTAACACCACAACCCACATAACACTACTCACGTAACACCATACAATACAAAACCAAAAACCACGCACATAACCCCACCCACGTAACACCACACACGTAACACAGGTATTGGTCGATGGAATACAATATACGTAACAC